GAATGTCCTTATAGCATAATAAGGTATATATATATACATATATATATATATATATATATATATATATATATATATATATATATATATATATATATATGGCAACTTTAAAGGAGAAGGAAAAAACCTACTTTACTTTTAATGTCAGTCAATGGAATCAGACTTTTTTCCAAGTCCTTTTGGGTCGTTTCTTTTGGTCCATTCTTCATGAAATTTACACACAATGTAAAGAGCAACAGGTATTTTCAAATTAAATTATGCCAAAAACTTAAAAACAACAAAAATGGATATATGAGGTTTTCGTCCAACAACAGTATATATATATATATATATATATATATATATATATATATATATATATATATATATATATATACACACACACACACATATATATATGTATATGTGTATATATATATATATATATATATATATATATATTTTTATATATATATATATATATATATATATGATTTATTTCCATAAAGCACATGAAATTAAAACATTGTACATTCGGAATTTATATAATTTTCCGTATTTATGTACTTTGAGTATACTATTGGTGTACTTATATGCTTCTTTTTCACAAGGGATATTGTGATTAAAAGATATTGGGTTACTGCCATCATTGTTGTCTGAATGGCTGGTGTAAGTGATGTTCAGTTCTGATGTCATTGATAAACAGAACTACGTTGTTGTGAAAAGTGCTCCTGGAAGCAAGCTAGAGAGATTTGCCAGAGGTTTGTTTGCCCACATCTCTACAAGTTGTACATACTGTATCAAAACTGTATCAAAAGGGTCCTCAGAACGCTGTGGGTGCACGTTAGAGCACATATGAGCTGAACATTAGAAATACACGGGTGAAAATTCAATCATCAAACATTTTATTATACAACATGAGAGCACTATTAAAAAATGAACACTGGAGAAATTCCCAGTAAATTGCTGTTATTTGACACTAAATATTTTTATAGTGTACAAATATTAGTCACACTGAGATTTCAAGACCCCTGATGCATTATGTAGAACTGCAGTGGAACATCTTAGCACTTCCAGCATGTGTCTGTGTGACGATGTGTCTGGCTTGGCAGACGGGAGAGTGCGAGTGTTTATTATAGTTCTTACATGGAACATCCAAATAGCATGCAGGCAAGAAAAGGGTACGGGGATCCATGACACAACACAAACACGAAAACTCTAAGAACTGAGATAAACAAAGATGGACTAAGAAAACTAGAAAACACCAACACTACACTGTTAGAAATAAAGGTGCTGCGCAGGTCCATTTTTCATTCCTCAAGGTACAAACAATGTAAATGTACTCTAAGGTACAACAGTGGTTTTAAGGTCTAATTGTATATCTTTAATAAGCTTTTCCAGGTGGAAAGTACATATTTGTATCTTTTCATAACCTAATGTTTTAAAACAGAGCAATGAAATAAAAAGCCTGGAGACGAGATGGGGTGTGTGGAGTCAATACAACTTAGAAAATATAATTTTAATGAATTATGGTACAGTTATATTCCCTGACTAAAGGTACTGAGCTGTACCCTTGAGGGTCCCACCCCAGTGACAGGAGGGGTACTGCCCCAGTGACAGTTTAGTACCTTTTTTCTGAGAGTGTAGAACAAACAAAGAAAACACGAGCATGGAAACCACCATGAAAGCAAACAAGAACATTGATATCAATGTTAAACAAAAGGGTGTATATATACAAACACAGAAGACATGGAATACCTAAGGACACTTGACAAGGGTGGGGCTAGAAAGCAGGAACAGGTGAGGCCTGAAGACAGGGCAGCCCAGGGGAGGAGCTAACTCCAAAACAACAACATAAGCACATTGCACAGGTAAACAAAAGCACATGAAACAAGAGAACAAACTAGGCAGAGGCAGAAACCAGCAAAGAGGGGCAGACACAGTAGGAAATCCATGACAATCAGCACAGAAAGTGAACATTTTATGCTCTGATATAGTTATTTTGGGTTTTTTTGGTCTAAAATAAATGCTAATGGTAATATATATATATATATATATATATATATATATATATATATATATATATATATATATATATATATAAGGTATATAAGGTATATTATGTATGTTTTTCTGAGTGTGTCATAGAAGACTGAACAACAGCATGTATCATAACAACAGATTGAGTCCAATTACTGAGAGCCTGTAAACAACAACAACCAGTGGGGAGTAGCTGCATAACCTACTTAGTAACAAGTAGCAGATTGGAAGACGTTCCATTATGACATCATCATATTTTATTTGCTTATTTATGATTGTTTGATAGTTTCCTCCTGTTTCAAACACTGAATGGAAAAAGTTATGTTTGTCAACATCTCCATTTTTTTAAATCGCCTTTTTCAGGGGTGCAAATTTGGTCTGATAAGGGGGTGGGAGGGGCAGCATCAAGAAGACATGGCCTAAATGGAATACTAGGACCACATAAAAGTTGCAGATTTCATTCATAGAACTGGGTAAACAAAGAAAATTGAGTTTGCATATTCTAATGCTTTATATTTAACATTAAAACATAAAAATGAACAAATGTTATTAACAGGAATTACATATGTGGATGCTTTGTAGTGTAAATAATAATCACCTAATCATACAAATAAGAGGAAGAGAAGTTATCTGATAGGCTAGCTGCTTCACTAAGCGCTGCTGCACACTGACAGAGACACTTCTTTTGGCACAGCTCAGTGTGCGTGTGGTGTGTTTGCACTTACGCAGTCTCTTTGTTTTAACTTGTTATGACAATCCACAATTATTGGTGTGGCATTTAATGAAAAATATTATTAATAACATAAGCCATCATGCTATTCCATAAAAATGATCTTAAATCATTTCAAAAAGTAAAAAGGATATGCCCCCATCCCACCCCAAAGCAATTTGCCTTTTTTTTAAATGTGACACTGTTGTTTTGCTCATCTTTTTTGCCCATTCAAACTTCTTTGCAAACCTAAGAAAGCTAAATATAGTAATTCATATCCTGTATCACCAAATATTGTCAAGTATTATAAAAATGTCTTCAGGTCTTGTTTAATTGCGTTAAATGCAGTCTATGTCTTGTTGCACCTGCATACGGAAAATAAATATATATAATATGTATTTCACAAATAAATTTGAAAATGTATGAAAGTGTCTAAAATCTGTTTTTTTTCTTTTCTTTTTTTTTGTTGAATGATGTTCTCTAGTGTTTGGAATACAATTCCAAAAACATAAAAACTACATGATTATGTTTATGTATCTATATGAGCTTGAAGCAATGTTGATTGTTCCAGTATATGCTTGAAAATGGTTCTGATGACAATAAAGTTCTTCTTGATTGTCCTGGTCTTAATGTGAATGTGACTGAATAAAAACTGCTTTCCTTTCCTCTCAAATTTACTCTGCTAGAATTAAAACTATTATCAGTAACTTGTTATTACTGACTAATATGTTCTGTATAAATATATCACGTACAGTTTGTTGTAACAATTTTAAGTACTTGTTTCTGACAACTGTACTGGAAATGATGAAGTTTTTCTACACACATATATGCACGTGTGAACAGATGTCAATGACATGATCATTCTGCCATGACAGCACCATGTAAAGCAAACGTAATAAAACACAAGGACAAGTGGGCTTATGGTTAAAGCTGTCTTTTATGGGTTATTCTGGACAATACAGATGCAAGAAAATACTAGATGATACACAATCATCTATCTTTTATCATGAACTAACAACATAACTAAAAAAGGGAATTCCAAGGATTGTTCTATATTTTAATATATAATAAAAGTCATTAAGACAAGCTTGATGTGAAATGCTCCGTTCTAGAGAAACCTACAGTGGTGGTGATAGGAGCAAGACGTCTTAAGCGTTTAATGCATCTAAAAGCTGCCTCATCAAAAGTTATTACATAAAATGCTTATGAATACGTTGCTTGATGCTTGAGACATTGCTTTAAGATAGTTTTTTGATAGGGTTTTGGCCTAAAATGTTTTTGCTTCAGGTCCCTTCATTGTAGAGAGATACATACAAGAAAGTTGACCACAATTTCATTGTTATCAGCATTAAATGCAAAACTCACTCAGAAGACACAAATAGGTTCACTGGTCATTGTAGATAGTGTGGCCCCTGGCTCCTATCACCACAACTGTGAAGAATATCTGTCAGTGTATTTCTCTACAATTTCACATCACAACACTCTGAATGATTTTATAAGCATTCAGTAAGTCATTCTGATTGATTTGATGTGAAATAATTCATTTATAGAGAATCTTACTGACTCAGATTTCTTTACAGTGGTGGTGATAGGAACCAGGGGTCCCGATGTTCACAATGCAAATATAGCCATATTATTTACTATTAAAAACCACCAGTGAACCTACGTATGTCTTCTGAGTTTCTATATGCAGTTCTGATGATGGTAAAATAATGGTCAGTCTGAAAAAATAACTTTTCTTTGGGAACTATTTTGCCTCACAACGACCTGCATGTATCCCTCCCATGAATGGATTAAAATGCATTGATTAATATGTTAATATGTTTTAGACCAAAGTTTTAAAACAAAACTACCATGAAACAATGTCTCAGACATTCTCAGACATCATGCAGTTTATTCATAACCATTTCAGGTAATAATATTACGAGAGGGAACCTTTAGAGGCATTAAACTCCTCAGTTATTTGGTTCCTATCATCACCACTGTAAACAATTATGGCTCGGTACGCTTCCATAGAATGGAACATTTCACCCCAAACTACTCTGAATGACTTTGTTGACATGTCAACCAATTAATTATGCAGCAATTTGGAAAAATCGGTGGAGTTCCCCTTTAAAAGAGCAAACGGAAGATTTGAAACTTGCCCTTATCCTCATTAACTCGCCTTGCAAACAAGGCGCGGTCCAATCAACGCTCGAGACGTTGGAAGAGCACCGCCCTTAAATCCTGACAGACAGGGGTCTCAGCCAATCAGCAGTCGTGATCCGGCGTCGACGTCATCGGAAGACATAGCCAGCGTGGAAGGAGTCCATGGCTGGAGGTGCTTGTTGGGTTTGTCTGAGGACTTGAGCGGGGGTTTTCTGGGTTGTGTAGTGCTTTATATTAATATATAAGGTCTGTTATGATGGAGGTTCTGCAGCCAGGGCAGCTGTTGTGTTGGCTGGGCGCTCTGACTGTGGCCTGGCTGACGGCCCGCGCTTTCTACCGCCTGCTCTCCGGCCTCCGGGTTTGGATCGTGGGGAACGGATCCCTGATCAGCGCCTCCAGACTCGGCACATGGGCAGGTCAGTCCACCACAGCACGGCCGCCACACCCACACCCAGTCCGCACCTCGATATCAAGGTGTGCTGGAGGGCCTGGCAGCCTGAAAGCTGCTGCCAGCGTTGGCATGATCATCAGGCCACATGGCTTTACCTTCATTACAGTCATGCTTCCTCTATTAAGCTTCAACACTGGGCTCACAAGGACAAATCAGCTTTACGTCACAGCAACAAAGAACTTCTAGGTAGATGAAGCTGATAGTGCTGCTCTGATATAACAGGGTTTTGTACCAAACCTGATACTTATTTGAGAGATGTTTAACCAAGGGACTTAAGAAAACAGAACTTTTTCAGTGATCTTGAGAACTGAGTTACTGTGTTCCTCTATATAATCATTATTAAATACTGGTAAACTATATGCTCCTGATATCCTTGTTGATATTGGCAAACCTGTGTGCTACTAAAGCTGCTCTAGTGATGTTAAACTTTCTTTGACTCCCTAGACAATCCTTGAACTGGACTGTGTAGGGTCCATTTTTGTCATGTAATCATGAGTTTGCACCAGCTGTTCATGTTCACTGCAGTGTTTAGTGAAAAAGGAACTTTTATAAGCAGCCTTTATTTTACCTGATATGATAATGCTGGGTTTTAAATTACTTTCAGCATCTCTTTCAGCTTTTGAAAGCTGGAGGATGGGAAAAACCAAAACTTGGACCAGTATGTTGTTGGGTATAGCCTTTAGGTCATTCTCTGATCTTGTTTCCTGGCCATAGATGGGGATGAGGGGAACTTTTCTTTACTTAAGCAGTGTCCAAAACTGTGCCCTGTTTGCTATATAGTGATATAGTAGTACAGATGGGGTTCAGTGGTGTAGTGTAGAAGTGCAGAAGATTCAGTGCACTCAAACAATAACACAATTCATGGCAATAAGTAGCCTACAACTGATATATAGGGGGTAATGCACCATGATACACTGCATTGTTTGTGAGTAAAGAGCAACACCATATATAATGTAAGTGTTTGAAATTGTTTACTATCATCACAAATTCTGTTCTCTGTAATAGTGATCTGTATGGTGATCCAGATTTTCAAATGTAGGTAGTGATTAGGGGACCGTTTTGGACACGGCATGAGAGTCAGGGGTAGCTGCTCTGAGGTGATACCCAGTCACTTTAGCATGCTTTTCACAGCCTAATCACACTGAAGCACAGTGGAGCTCCAAAGCATAGCAGCATTTATTAGCAGCTTCATGCACTAAAATGGAACTTAACATAAAATAAGGAGAATGTGGGGAGAAAGCAAAAGGTAGTTTTCACAACAGACCTTTTCATTCACTTTCTCACTCCTCTCTTTCAGCAGGAGCAGGAAAAAAAGGGAACCTTTGCGTTTCTTAAAGGCATATGGACCCTGTTTCCCCCCCAAAACATTTCACATTACAGCCTCAAACACAATATTGTATCACTATTGACCATATTTTGGTTCAGTCCATTCTGTTCATAGTTACCGCTATTTAAAACGAGCTGCTTCTGCCGCTGCCTGGAAACGTTGACCACCCGGAAGAAAGGCCAGTGTGCATGTTTACAGTCAGATCTATGATCTTGATCTATAGTGTATTGTCATACTGTATTAACAATATGAGCTTGACTACTTAGACATAGGCACTAGGCACTATTCACTATTCACAAAAGATATACACTGTTGAGCAAAAATAGAAGCCAACTTGCCACTGATTATACCAGATAATGTTGGAAAATTACAGTTTGGTCTGTTGAGATTAGCTAAAAAGGTGGTTTCATCCTTATCTTCCTATGACCTTACCAGTGTAGCTTATGTTCCATTAGACGTATGTAAACAAAGACCCATGTTAGAGAGGTTCCTGGGAGCCAGCAAGATTTATTTTGCTCCACACTCTTTCGAAGGTAGGTATTTTTCTACATAATATAATCTAGTATAATGTAATATAAACATTTTTTTATTTATGGATATCAAGGTACAGCAAATATGAAAGATGGGCTTTGTTTTTTTTCTAATATAGATAAAATAAAGCACTTCCTTTCCTTTCTGGAAGGGAGTGTTCTTTAAAATGCTTGGTATTAAGGCCTTGGACATGTGGAGAGGCTCTTTAAGAAGCTTTGGGATTGTACTAGGAACTTAAACTGAAGACAGTTGTTGTTTAAGCGGTTTCTTGTTGCACTCGAAGTACAAATGTATAAAACTGTTAACGTTTTTATTTTGCACAAAATGACCTGAAAATATAACCTATGTTTGGATGTGGTTGGTCTTCATTAAAAATAAATGTTGCAATGCCATTAGCCGGATCACCTCATCTCCCGCTCCAGCCACCGTTGAGCAAGACTTGTAGTTGGAAGTCCAAAAGTCAGCTGAACTATGCACGTCATGCCGTGGCACTCAGTAAAACAATGTTTTGACTTCTTTGCTGCGTTCATTCATTGCCTGCTGTGAAATCTTATCTTCAGTGCCATCTTTTGACTGATAAGCACTAGTTTAGTTCTTCAACTCCTGGCATTTCCGTAAGGGCTGATGCTCTTCAGTACATCTGAAGAATGTTGGGTAACACTTTATTTGAAGGCTAACTTCATTACACATGTATAAGCATTAAATAAGGTATTAAAAAACCAGTTGGCTTATGTCACTATTCACAAGATGAGTTGGTGTTTTTATGCAGGTAATGACATTGTACTGATATAAGGGCTCTTAAACTGAAGTGCCAGGCGCTCCGTGGTCCATTTATATCACTTTTATGAAGCGTCGATCCAAGTAAAGGAATTTGTAAAGCCGAGGCCTAGTTGGAATGGAGTTCCACACATTGTGAAATGGTTAATTGTAGAGGAAGTTGATAACTTGGATTTCTTAATAGTGGTGGCGAAAGGGCAGAGGTCTAATGTACAAATATATAAATCAGAATGACTCAACCTACAGAAGTTTTGGTATGTATTTGTATGAATCTTTAAAAAAAAAAAAATCTTTGGGTTCTTTTATGCCTTACAACACTCTGCATGTACCTCATGAACATGAATAGATAAAAAAAAAAACCTTTAAGGCTAAAACCGTATCGCAAAGCTATTATAAAACAATGCATCAGGCAACAATTCATATAATGACTTTCTATTGTGTTACTTTCAGATGCATTAAACTCTTTGGATGGCTGGTTCCTGTCACCACCACTGTGAACAACTTTGGTTCTGTTAGTTTCTCTAGAACAAGGCATTTCACATCAAAATACTCAGAATTACTTTGTTTACAAACCTAATTTATTATGCAGAAATTTTGAAAATTTGGTGGAATTCCCCTCTAAGGACACCATATATTCTTTCTATATATTTCTAATAGAGTTAAAGGACAGACGTACACTTCTTTTGTGGCTTTTGTGGCTGCATGTGTTGATATTTGCACTGGGAAAATATGTATAAAAATGATGACTTTAGTTTGAGATTATCAGAGTCTTCCATAAAATTAGTAAATAATATCACATAATATAACATATAATAATGTAACATAAACCTGGTGTTCTTTTTTTTTTTAAGGCTTTGTTATTTTTGCCTTGTTGTTTCCATTTCTTGAGATTTATGCTTCGTAACAGTGTTATAAATGGCACGAATGTCTGGCACCTTATGGTCCTATGTAGAGAGCCTTCAAATTTGCATAACTGTTTTATTATCAACGTGCAGTTTTGGGTTAGCCAACGTCACAAGCAGAAAATGATATATATATTTTTTAAACAATGTTCACAGAAAGACTAGATTCACACTGGAGAGTACAGAGTAGCCTTGAAACACAACTATTGTGATATCGGTAAAAACATGACCCACTTTATCAGAAAAACAATGCAGACAGTGAGCCAGTCAGATCCAGACAGCTTGACTGTCTATCAGAAACAGACTCAAACAGTCCTTGTTGGTTGTGGCCAGTTAAAGATGCAGGCTGTCCCAGGAAACGTTCCCAGAGAATGTAAAAGAATGTAAAATACACAGATTTTTAAAAATTTCTCTAAAATTCTGTTTTTGATATGTAAACAGTCCTTTACAGTGTTTTACATGTGGAACAGTGTATTGTAAAGAAACTTGGTGACTTGGCTTTGTAGGCCCGTCCCCACAAGAAAGCGAAATCAAATTTGTTGAGATGCGTCTTGGAGCTTACAACAACAGCAGATGTTCTAACTTCTGACTAGCACCTTTAGAGGGCAGCAGTGAGTAATTTTTGTTTGTTTATTTGAATTCTAGCCCTGTCAGTCACCAGTTCGGAGATAATAAGTCATGACAGCTAGAAAGCAAAATAGCTAATCAGCGGTGGAGATGAGAACCAGAGTTTGTGATGTCTACAATGCAGATATGTCCATTTTATTTACTAGCCAGAACAACCAGCGAACCTTCACGTGTCTGAATTTTACATGTAATGTTAATGATGGTAAACTAGTATTTAGTCAGGAAAACAAAGTAGTCTTTGGACCTCTCTGCTTTACCTTGCGTGTACCTCTCCACCATGAACATGTTTTTAACTTTCTGCCAAAATCAGATCGGAGACGCGTATTTGTAACGATTTCATGTAATAACTTTGTGTGAGGTAAGTGCCGGTTCCTGTTACTACCACTGTAAATAGTCCTGACTTGGTAAGTTTCTCTAGAACAGAGCATTTCACATCAAAATGCTCTGAACGAGTTACGTCTTAGTGTTTTACATGTGCAGAAATTTCAGTGGAGTTCCCCTTTAAATAAATCAATATCAATTTGGGTGAAGGAATTTAAACCTACACATTTCTAAGTAACATGCAACAGTTAAAATTAAATATGTTTATTGAATATATTGAATTTATTGTTATTAATTATAATAACAATAGTAATAATAATAATAACTACCATGTCGAAACAACATAATATTAACTTCCAGTTATTTTGCGTTTAGCACAGAAACAAGACCCTGTATTAAATGTGTGATCACAATAATTTTGCACAATGTTTATTTTTCCATCAACTTTTACACGACTCGTTCTTTAGTCCATATCTGCGC